TTTGAGGGAGTACTTGAGTGGAGGCCCAATGTCCTTATGCTACCTTAATACTAAACCTATAAATATAGGCACATAGATCTATTTCCCCATCCTCATATAGATATATTTGCATATGTACATGTCTTTATCTAGACCTCTATAAATGCAGGGCAAGTCTTGACACACAGAATCAATAAATATTAGCTATTTTATTACTGCTCCCTTACTAATTTATTAAAATAGAATAACCATATATTCCATTTCCTTAAGAAACAAAATCTTAATACAAAGAGAGAAAGCACTAATGGTATGATTATAAAGGAGAGACATTGAGATCTGTAGGGTATTAAAACAATTAAAATTTAAAAGAGCAATATATATTTTATTTCATGTTCTTTCTCTTAAAAAGGCCACCCCCATGTTTGTGTATCCTTGTTAAATTAACTTAATTCCCATATGATATTGCAGACACCTTACAGCCATAAGAAAAATGCTAGGATGGAATTAATTATTCTTAAAGCTTTCCCTCACTCCAGGATCACTCCTCAGACCGCATGATGAACACAGAGCTCTGAAAACTTAATTGTGTTGAACAAAAATATTTGCATTCATGAGACTATCCAGAAGTTCTGAACGTAAAGCTTTCCCATTTCAAAATTTCACAGTTGTTTGAATATTGAGAGATTAGCCTCTGGTGTATAATTGCTCAAAACCCCACAGCACCTCAGAAAAACATTCTATGTAGCAATAATAGCTGCAAAACGAGTCATGACAAATGGATTGTGCCAAGTCAACGCAGCTGCAATTGATAAAACAAACTTATTCCAATGGCATGTAACAAAAACCACACATAGGCTTCTGATTGCTTGTTTGAAAAATACTGGCTTGGAAACTGTACATAGAAAAGTAATACTAAGTGTCCCAAAATAAAGTAATAAAAAAATAACAACAAAAAAAGACATCGCCTTTGAAATGTGGGTAGTTTGAAGGATCCAGTAAATGGTGCAGAAGCAGGTAACACTTTTAGACAGCATTAGAAGAAAAGGGGGACAAACACTTTTAATCAACTGATGTATTCTTTCCTTTCAATGTCTTGCTGCTGAGAGTACATGAAAGCAGATAGTGTAAAAAACAGTCCTACAATTAATCTGAGTTCATATCCCAACATTTCACTCACTATCTAGGGCCCCAGAGTGTAATTTAAACTACTTGCACCCTAGGTCTCTGTCACCGAGAAGATTCTGACCTGACTGCTCTTCACAGTGGGTTCCTGTAAGCCTCAAAAATACTAGATCCACAAGGGCTGGCACATAGCAGGTGCCCTAAGTGACAGTTGTCTCTGTGGCGCTGGGAAGGTCTGTCTGCTGTGGTACTTCCTGTCTGTGTACTGCCTGTTAATTAGTGATAAGTCACCTGCTTACAGGGTGAAAACTGCAGCACCAAATTAATATCTATCTGCAGAAAGATCTCAAGACCAAAGTGAAGTACTGTTTTCTGCCACTTAGAAGGCTGTTAGGGTACTATGACTTTAAGAACTTTGAGATGAGCTCCAGAATGTCACAGTACGATTTTGCAGAGAGATTCCTAGTTGTTGTTAAGTGCCATCGACTAGATTCATCGACAGCTGCAATTCTTTGTACAACAGAACGAAACACTGCCCCATCCTACGAAAGCCTCACCATTGCTTGAGCTCATTGCTGCAGCTGCTGCACTTCTTCCTAGAAAGATTTGTTCATGCTCTGTGGAGTCCATGGATTTTAAAAATTCTTCAATCCTTATTAACAAATTTGTTTTTCACTTATTCAAGGGTATTATATGGGTATATAGTAACAAACATTCCACACAAAGAAATGAAATTTATGGTTTCTGCCCGCTAGGTTAGCTTTCTTCGCAGGGCTCTGAAGACATTTAAATACTATACATGAACTATTCATAATCTCTTTACTCCTCTCTGAAATGTTTCTTTGGTTATTAAAACCATTCATCACAAAAAGGGTATGGGAAATATCTGAACCGATCCTTATATGCAAAACTAAACTGTTTTAGTGGCTGTGATAGTTTTAAGGAACCCTTGAAGAGCTAAGTGCAAGGTCGGCAGTTCAAACCAACCAGCCCCTCCACAGAGAAAGATGAAGCTATCTGCTTCCACAGGGATTCCGTCTTAGAAACTCTTAGGGGCACTTCTCCTCTCTCCTACAGAAGGTGGCTATGAGTAGGAATTGACTTGATGGCCGTGGGTGTCTACTAAAGGTTAAAACAAACATATCCCGCACACCCTGCTGCTGTTGCTTCAAAAGGCAAAGGGACAACAAAACCAATGTAAAGTCTTCTAGAAGGAAAATCAGGTTTAAATTCTTTATTACCAGCTAGAACTTTGGTTAAATGCAGATGTCAGATAAGTAAGCTAATATAACATTCTGCTACATAGTAAGTTAACATATCAAAGACACTACCATTTAACTGCACGTTTTCATGATTATTTACCATGCAAGGAAGAAAACCCATGAATTCTTCAAACCCGTAAAACCATATTAATTTCTTATTTACCTTTATTTCTGAGATTTATCTTCCACTGCTCATGCCTCTGTCTTCATAAATGGTAATTTCAATCTAAACAGCATGGCTGTCAAGAAAACACACCATCGAACACAACACAGAAAGAGGGGTGATGGCAAGACAATGGATGTCATCTGTACAGACTTTCCTACCCCCCCACTTTCCTTCTAATTCGTATATTTTAAATTATTAACATTTTTATTACTTAAGTTAACATGCTTTCTCTACCTTGCTGAAAAATTGTAAGAAATGTAATTACTTTTGAAATTACATATGTAGTTCATCCCTAACATTTATCATTAAATTTTAGGTTTTGGAAAAAAAATTGTCATTACTGGAAAGTTTGTAATGGGAAGGACAAGGAGGTAATTGATTCAATGATTAAAAAAAAAAATTCCCTGAAATTATATGCAAAAAAAATTTTTTTGTGGCGGGAGAAGGGTTCATGACCCTTAAGGCTTAAGAACCATTGCTGAAGAAGAGTGTAATAAAATTGTTGAAATTTTTATCAGCTGGAAGAGCTGGAATTATGTGATCTACATAAAAGAAAAAAAATTTTAAATACCCATTACTGCAGTGTCATCAAGCTGTATTAGTTCTTTTGCCATTTTATTTACCAGATTCACTTAGTAATTTTCAAAGCTCACTGCTTCTAAAAATATGCATAAAATGTCAAAGGTAATGAACTACACATCTGGCAGCTGTGACTGATTTCAACTAGTGAATGAACCCATGGAACTACAATTCATTTGGATGACAAGTCTCATCACACATTACGAGTTCGTGCATTTCAAAGGAGCTTTAGGTTCAGAGCTTCTGCAGCTGAGAAGCATTACTCACACAACCCCCTTTATTACTCCAAGCTGCCCGCAGAACCACCAAGAAAGACGGTAACCAGAATACCAAACATCCACAAAGCCCTGCATAATAAAGGAGAGGTAGACTTCAAGAAAAAGAACAATTAGGGGGAAAAAATGTCCAGAGATAGGAGGCATGCCATTCACCCAGCAACTTTCCAAGGTTAAAGCAAGAGATGCGTTAAGTCCCCTCTAGCCAACGCCACAAACCACCGCCAGAGTTTTCTTTTTACAAGTATTTGGACCGGATAACCTGGTCTAAAAAGATACAACTCGAAGTCCTCTCTCAATGGGGTCTGTCAGAAGGAGGCCTTGGGGAGCATATATCTTCTCATTCTGCTCTTGAATGTATTTGGAGACTTTCTTCAGAACCTGACAGGAAAAAAAATACCAGTTTTGGTTTTTAAAATCATTTCATCAGATTTTCCTTTAAGTATCAGCTAGATCTCAATATATTCAGGCAGCAGAGTTAGTTTTCAAAGAAAGCATTGGGGATGCATATGGAGGAATACGGTCCTGTTCATTTGGCTCCTATCAGTTGCAGATAATACATAAGATACAGCACAGCGTGATGGACTCTTGGGGTGAGACGTGTCTTTGGTGAAGTAGAAGTGCAAGTTGCACACAAAGGCAGGGCGAGCACTTCTCTTCACCCCTGGATAGAGAGAGAGAGGCATTCGCGAGGACACAAGCAATGCTCAGTGAGGTCCTTCTCTCTCTCAGTGCAGCAAGTGTGCAGAGGGTGGCACCTTATAATACCACCTTCCCTTCAACACCGAAGAAGTGTTGCTTCTCGGTGGTGCATGTTTTCATCACTTTTAAGTAATGATAAGAGATGGGCCTGTAACAAAAGGTAGCACAGTCACTTTAGAAGTAACCATTTTATTTCCTTTGTAAAGCACGCGGCCTTGGCTGCTGTGGAGTTTCTGATGACTGCAAGTTTCTGGTATCACTTCCAGGACTGCATGTAGTGCTACTCTACAGTTTGCTCTGTGTCCTAGACAGGACCCTCAATTTATAAGTCTAGTATTAAGGTTGTAAAAGTCAAGGCAAATGTAGACAAAAACCAGATAAGATACAAAGGAACTTCTGGAAATTGCCAAAACTCCAGCTTTAATAAGGGCAATTCTGAGGCAGATAAGCTAGAAGAAAATAAATCTTAACAGCTATATCCAAAATCAAAGAGTTACATGCTTTAGTTCAGACTAAAAGTCATCATAACCCCTTTTTGGCCTTCATGTTCAAAGAGGCTTTGATCCAGCCCTTTGAATTACTATGTATTTCCCTAACTGCACACTATCAGCAGATGATAAAATCACAGCTAAAATGTGAAGACAACATAAAGGGGTAAAAAGAACTGCATGAAAGAAAGCTGGAAATTGTGCAACAATTTAGTGTGAAGGTATGATGAACCAAGTCAAGCTAACAAACTGGGATGCTACCACTCAGATGGCATTGGTATAAATGGGTTTAGAATCCAAAATTCTATCTGGCCGATATAATGAAATCTTCTCATTGAAGGAAACAAGTTTATTCAGGTAACATCTTTGGGGGTAGTAAAACCTCCCGGTTTATGCTTGGAAAAAAAAAAGTGTATGATTATTGAGCGAACAATGCCACAGATGTGGCACAGATTCCAGCCTTAGAAAACCTAAGCAGCAGTTTCTACTCTATCCTACAGGGTCACTTTGCTGGAAACTCCACACAGAGGGTTTCAGTTAATTATCGGAAGGGATACACATACCATTCTTCCATTCACAAGTCTCAAAGAATCTGCATTGTGCTTGGTCTTCACAAGCAAAACCAAACCAAACCTTAGATCCTATCTTTATATCAGAGCTTGTCCATCAATCATGCCTTAAGTAAAAAATGGAAGGAAGTGGCTTATAAAGGCGCCCAACGCCGGCCTCCCAGACATAGTTCCAATTTCCTTCTCAACTAAGCAGCCAGAACTGGAAACTGGAGACTCAGTCTCCCCTCAGCCCAGTCCATTACTACTGGGGGAAGACCCTCAGAGAAATACTTGCATGGCTGGTTTCAAAGAAAGGCTTCCTTGAAAACAGCTTTCCTCCCTCCTTGGGTACAGATTACTAGCAAAGGAATGGCATTCTTGTATTTGATTCAAGCATAACTTTGTTGGGCAAGGTTCTTATTTAAACTTTAGTAACATTCATATGCACTTAGGAAGCAGTTCATAAAGAAAACAATTAGTTTTCTTTTTGTATCCCTAGATACATGCTTTTGGTGAAGGCATCACTGTGAAGGCTACTTTCAAATTCCTCGTATCTTTAGCAATTAGCCAAGGAAAACTCGCTGCCATCAAGTTGATTCTGACTCTTAACAATCTTACAGGACAAGGTAGAATTGTCCCTGTGGGTTTCCAAAGTTGTCCTTCAACAAGAGAAAAGCATTAATCTATGTATATTTATACTGTTTGCAAGCACCATTCTCACCCCAAGAAACCTTATGTTGTCATTTCACTCATGCTATTTTTAATCACACCATAGTATTTTACAAAATTATCTGTTATCCTCAAACCCTGAGTAAAATAAAACCTTTCATTTGTATGCTTACAAAGCTCAAGGGTTTCATAACCACAATTAAGCCTCAGGAAAAGCTACCATTTTCCCTAACACTATCCATCCAGAGCAGCGGTTCTCAACCTGTGGGTCGAACGACCCTCTTACAGGGGTTGCCTGATTCATAACAGTAACAAAATTACAGTTGTTAAGTAGCAATGAAAATAATTTTATGGTTGGGGGTCACCACACATGAGAAACTGTATTAAAAGGTTGTGGCATTAAGAAGGCTGAGAACCACCGATCTAGAGAAAGACCATCAGCCCCTCCGGGGAGAACAGCCTAAGAAGGAGAAGGGGACCACCAGAATCTTAGCGATTTCAGAAGAATTCAACTTCTCTCCGAAAAGTGCTTGTTTTACAGGTTACTGCACATACGCAGAAGTGACGCTGTCTAGCTGATGAGCAAGGCAGACAGGGCGAGGAACTTCTTACCAGCACACTGGTTCCCTAATCACACTGGGTAGCAACAATAAAGAAATAACACTGAAGTCTATCTTCATTTTAAATCAATAAATAGCACATATAGGAAAAAATGCACGATTGTTCTAGTAAGATTTAAAAGGCCTATTTACAATTTTTAAAAATTTAATCCACATGACAGAGTGTAAGCACTCATATTTGACTTACTGTTTGTAGACTAGGAATTTTAGTGTTTAAAACAATAAACACCAAATGACGCAACCTTGTCTTTCCATAAAGCAGAACACAGTAACACAAACTTGGGAAAAGGGAAAGCGGTAGTTCTTACATCTCCAACATTTTATCAAAAATACACATTTAAAAACTTTTATTTTAAAGGCATATACTTTACATTTAATTATGATCATTCAATTATTCACCTTGCAAGATGTAGTTACGCAAATCCATTTCTAAAACAAAAGCTAAGCGAAACCCCACTTATTTAAAAATATACCATGTCTCCAGCTTTGGTTTCTTGATTAATTTTATTTGGTCTGTTTGCTGTTAGGTGTCAAGTTCCTTCCAACACAGAGCAAACCTACAGGATGGGGAGGAACTGTGCCAAAGGCTTTCAAGGGCTATAATCTTTACAGGCACATCCCCCCCCCCCTGTGAAATAGCTAGTGGATTTGAATCAAGGGTCTTCTCGATGCGCAGATGAGTGTATCACCATGGCCCCTATATACTGCCTATACACCCACGTTGAAACATGCTATGGAATAAGTGCCCATTGTATTTACTGTACTGAGAACCGCCTTCCTAGAACTGACATGGAGAGTACTGAATTGAGAGCTGCTGACTATTTTAACACTGAACAAATTAGTAGCTGCTAAAAAAGATTAATTATATATTTGAAGTTTTAAAAAAGTTTCTAAGTATCAGATTAAAACTTATATAGGCATTTCATTTTAAAAGATATCTTAGAAAAAATTTTTGCTAAGTACCTACCATTTGTGAGGCAATTTATTAATTCTAATATCTATTATATAATTAAGAAAACTCTGATTAGATAACTTGATTAAAATCCCAAAATTAGTAAACGTCTTGGTTGACATTCAATTACCATTTTTATTTTTATGTCAGTGGAGGTATCTGAAATCTTTAAATCTGTATCTATTTCAGCAATATACATGAACCTATTAAAAATTAATGTAAATTTTATCAACAATTTCAAGTGGTAGTGAAGTGACAACTGAAGCACCTAAAACTCCACTCATCATAAATAAACAACTCTGGATGACATACTTCCACCTAAAATCTGCAATATTACATATCCTGGAGAAATACGAGTTATGACATGAAAGGACATATGCATATCCAAGGTTCATCGCAGCACTATTCAAAAAGCAAGAGGAAAACAACCTAAATGAATGGAAGAATGGCTAAACAAACTATGGTACACACACAATGGAACACTACACAATGTTAAAGAAGAATGATGAAGCAGTGAATCAGATAAAACCCATAACATGGCTGACGCTGAAAAGCCTTATTCTGACTCAAGTAAGTTGATCACATAGGGGCAAATACTGTATGAGAGCACTAGATTAAAAAGCCGGGAAGAGGTTTTCACCAAAAGAATCATTCTTTGATCGTTACCAAGGGTAGGGAATAGCCGGACAAGGAGTTTACTAACTAAAGGGTAGACACAGGCTACCTTAGGTACAGGGGAAAGGAAATATACTATAAAATGGAGGTCAGGGAAAATGAGGAAGGCAAAGGAAGACAACTGAGGAGTTTAAGAGTGAAGGGCAACAGAGGTCAATACTATTGTATTCTTATTCCTGTAATAACAGCCATCTGTTGAGTGAAATGTATAGACAGACACACAGGCAGAACCGGCATGTGAAGCAGAATGGGACAAACTCTAAAAACCCTAATATTATATATTTTGTTAATCAGCAACCAGGGATGACCATGTTTTTATCCATATGAATTCAGCTAAATTTTCCACTCCTTTAATCAGCTCTTCAAAGTCTTCAAACTAGCTCTTGAATCGTCCCATTCACTCCAATCACTGCCCTGTAGCTAGTTGTAACTATCATCTCTTATCTGGAGTTCTAAAGAACTTTCCAAGTGGATCCCTCCTTCCACGCTTAGACCCTTTCTTCATGTAACTACGAGAATTCTCTACTTGAAGTCTGGTCACATCACTCTTCTAGAGCTGAAAGCCTCTGCACTTCCCACTCTACAAAAAAGGGAAATGTTTCCATAGATGACACCATCTTGCATGATAGTTATGCTGATCTCTCTGCCTTCATCTGGCACTACTCTTGACCCCCGCCACCTGCACGGCCTTCTTTCAACCCCCGAGAGTGAAGTTCTATGGGCC